CCAACTTATTTTTTGAGGCAGGGTCTCTCACTAAAGCTAAAGTTTGCTGATTTTACTGACTTTGGCAAGGGACTTAGGGATCCTCCTTTCTCTGCCTCCCCAGTACTGAGGTTACAGGTGCCATCACACTGTTTTTTTTTTTTAAACATAGGTGATGGGGATTCAAACTCAGGTCCTCATGCTCATGTGGCAAGCACTTTACCCACTGAGCCATCTCCCTAGCTCCTCATGATGTTCTTGAAGGAGATGAAGTGGGTGAGGAGACTTGTCCTACAAAATATTGACTATTATTATAAAGCTATGAATCAGCACAGTGTACAAGGACAGTGAACAATGACAGTGTACCAGGCATTGGTACAATGGAACAGAATAGGGAGCCCAGAAACATACCTAAGCATTTATGGAAATTTGATATATAAGTGATTTAGTGGGAACCTAGAAGATGAAATTGGGGTGAGACCATTAATTAGTATATACTAAAGTCAATGTCAAAATAGAAGCCAGGCATGGTCGCTCACATCTGTAATGCCAGAACTCAGCAGGCTGAGGCAGAGGAATTGCTATCAAGGCTGTCCAGGACTGCATAGCAAGACCCTCTAAAAAACAAATAGAAAACATGAAAAGAAAAAGAAAACCTTGAACCTTTAAAATAATGCATTAGACAGTGTCATTCTGATGTCAAGAAAGGATTTTTAAAAATATTTTAGTTTTATTTTATGTGTATGAGTGTATTACCTGCATGTATGTGAGTGTACCCATGTCATGCAATACCTCAGAGGTCAGAAGAGGGCTTCGGATTCCCCTGGAACTGGAATTAAGGATGGTTCGTAGCCGCCATGTGGGTGCTGGGAATTGAACCTGGCTTCTCTGCAAGAGCTTCAGTGCTCTTAACTGAGCCATGTCTCCAGCCCCCAAGAAAGGACTTTTTAAACAAGAAACAAAAAGGCGTAGGCATAAGAAAAAAATCTAATTACAGGTGTTAAAATGAAGAACTTTGTTCAAAAGGACAAGATAGGGACGTATAAACCTTGAGTTGAGGGAGGCTACTTGTAGCACACATAACTGATAAAATAGCCAAGCATCCAAAATATCTGAAGAAAAATCTTGTAAATCAAACAAGACAGAAAAGGAGGGCCAGGGAGGCACCAACAGAAAACAAACAAATGGCACAAATATGTAGATCAGAAAAGAAAATATAAACAACAAATAATAGACAAAAAGCTGTCCAGCCTCACTAATATTAGGGAAGTGCAAATTAGGTGGCAGCATGATACCAGCCCACATTCTGATTGATAAAATTAAGAATTTTATACAGTAATACAAAGTAGGTGCAGATGGGGATGGAGAGATGACTCAGTGGTTAAGAACATGCACTGCTCTTGCAGAGGACCCAGGTTCAGTTCCCAGCACCCACATGGCAACCACCCATAACTCCAGTTACAGATCTAATGCCTCTGCTGGCCTCTCAGGGCACCTTCACCCATATGGTCACATAATATACTCAGGCATACACACATGCACATTAAATAAATAGATAAATAGATGAATGAATGGTTAAATAAATTTTTTAAAAGTTGGCATATCTGTTCAAAAGAGGTTGATACATGCTTCTGGTCCATCAATTGTTACTAGTATTTTGGAAAACATTGACATTATTTTATGAAGTTCTACCTTTAGATATTCCCTGGGCTATAACACTTTTACTCCTAGTAAGCATTTTAGAAAAATTAGGCTCTAGTTGTGTTCTCCTGTAATTCTAGCACTTGGGAGGTGGAGGCAGGAGGATCAGAAGTTCAAGGATAGCCTCAGCTACATAAATCCTACCTCAAGAAACAAAATAAAAATTAGAAACCCTTAATACAAACACTAGTTCTGTTCCAATTATCAGGAACAGGACTGCAGATGTAGCTCAGTGGTACAGCCCTTGCCTAACACACATGAGGTTATGGGTTTGGTTAGCTCTTGTCACTACAGGAAAACAAAACAACAGCAACAACAAAAACAAAGAAAAAATATAGCACAAACAAAACAGAAAAGCAAAGTAAATTATTGAGGTGAAAGCCAGTCATAGAAAACTTAGTACAATATAAAAATGGTAAGGCTGGCAAGATGGCTCAGCAGCTAAAGGCACTTACTGCCAAGCCCGAGGACCCGGATTTGATCCTGTGGACCCACACAGTGGAAGGAGACAACCAGCTCCTGAAAGTTGTCCTTTGATCTTCACATGTGCGCTGTGGTATGCACTTCTAGCCCCAGTAGAAAAATAAATGTAATTTTAAAAATTATTTTTAAAAGTTCAAAAGTAGGCAAAACACATTTCAGAGAATTCTTAAGAATACAAATAAAATGGGCAAGTTCATTTTTAAAGGGATAGGGATTAAGAATTAAAAACAAAAATAAAAGTCAGAGAGAATTCTCTCCCACACACGGCAGGTTGGTGGGATGGCACATGAGACAGCGGGACTGTGTTGATGGTGTTCTGGCCAGTACACAGGCTAATGAGGTAAAGGTACTCACGGCTCTGTTCTTCTTAATCTGCCTCAACTTTCTCAGTGTGATGCTGCTGACAGTTTGTGCTGGATAAATGTCTGCTGTGGGAGCTGTCTTTTGTATTACAGGATGTTCAGTAGCATCCCTGGTCTCTCTAAGCTCTAGATGCCAGTGTCCCCCACTAGCTGTGGCAACAGAGATGTCTCCAGACATTACCAAACATCCCCTGTGGAGCAAAATTGCCCCTGGTTTGGAATCACTGATATCCCTACATGTTTTATAAACATGTAGGGGATGTTTGGTATATAAATATATATATATATATATATATATATATTCTGGTGTTTTAAATATTCTGTAATAAAACAAAGTTTAAAATTGGTGGTAGCAGTTTCACTCTGCCTGTGAAACACAAGCAGGAAGGCATCATTAAAAGCGGGGCATGCCTGAGCCTGCTGAAGACCTCTGAAGTCGAGCATGCAGAGCAGTGTGTGCTGACAGCTCCAGAGAAGGTTGACTAACAGGTGATATTTCTAGAAATGGCACTTGGTAGCAGAAACCCATAGTTAGCTACACTGGAGAAAAATTTCTGCAGCCTTTCTTATTTCTTTGAGAAATCTAAAAATTAAGCCTATTAGAGCACCATTTAATTTTTCAAAAATCTATTATTGAATTTTAAAAATAGAGCCTGGAGCCAGGTTTGGTGGAAACATGCCTTTAATCCCAGCACTTGGGAGGCAGAGGAAGGTGAATCTCTGTGAAACTGAGGCCAGCCTGATCTACATAGCAAATTCTAGGCCAGGTATGGCTACAGGGAGACCCTGTCTCAAAAAGAAAAAACAAACAAACAAAAAAAAATAGAGCTTGGGTTTGTATAAACTCTTATTGCCTCTGAGGAGTTGGCTATGCCTGTAAAGTCTCTATACATCGCACTGTGGTCCTCAGATGGCTGGAATATCTCTAGGACTAAGAGATATAACGGGGGCTTGGAAGATGGTTCAGCAGATAAAGTCAACTAGCACCAAGCCTGAGAACCTGAGTTCAATCCCCAGAACCCATATGGTGGAAGGAGAGAACTGACTCACAAGTTGTCCTCTGACTTCCATAATGAACTGTAGCTCATGCTTGCGCGCACACACACACACACACACACACACACACACACACACACACAATAAGTAAAATGTAAGATCCACATAATGCAGCATTGCTGCTCGAGGATGACAAGTGCCTGGGATCTCACATTCACCACCACACCCCACTAATCACCGAGCCTCCCCAGTCATCTGGTTATGTTTGGTTCATGGTCCTATTCAGCCTCTTATGGGGAGAATTTATTATCTTTATTTTCAATATTAATTTTTATTACATTTACGTGTGTGTGTGCACATATGTCATAGTGTTCATATGGTACTCAGAAGACAACTTGCAAGAGTTAGTTCTTTCCTTCTGTTACATGTGTCCTAAGGATCAAACATGGACCATCAGGCTTGGTGGCAAGCACCTTTAACTGCTGAGCCACCTTCTCAGCCCATTATCTTCATTTTTTTTAATTTTGTAAGATTCTTTTTCTTTTTTTAAATATTTTATCTATTGTTTTTATTTTATGTGTGTGAGTGTATTGCCTGAATGTATGTGAGTACACCCATGTTGTGCAATGCCACAGAGGTCAGAAGAGGGCTTTGGATTTCCCTGGAACTGGAGTTAAGGATTGTTTGTAGCTGCCATGTGGGTGCTGGGAATCGAACCCAGGTTCTCTGTAAGAGGAGTCAGTGCTCTTAACCGCTGAGCTATCTCTCCAGCCCTATCTTTATTTTTTAAATGGAGAAATATAGGCACATTAAGAATATCTTTTCAATAGAACAAAACCTAGGGTAATGGATTAGAAATAGAATTGGCATGAAAGTTAGGATTCTGAATCTTGGCATTTATGCTCTTTTTTTTTTGACTTTTTGAGACAGGGTCTCCCTATAGCCCCAACTCACCTGGAACTTGCTATGTAGACCAGGCTGGCCTTGAACTCACAGAGCTCCACCTGCTTCTTCTTCCTGAGTTCTGGGATCAAAGGCATGTGCCACAACACCCAGCTTGTCTTCATGTTTTGTCACTAGCTCAGACCTGTTTGCATCAGGGGTGTGTGTGTGTGTGTGTGTGTGTGTGTGTGTGTGTGTGTGTACGCACCTACCTGTGGTTTGAGAGTGTGTTTCTATTTTTCCCAGCATGGGTTGTTAGGGAGAAAACACAAAGGATTCAAGGGAGAAGCTTGAAGGAAGGGTGTGATAGAAACAGCATTAGGGGCAGAAGATGGGGGCAAGTTCTCTTTGAAGTACATTTTCTTTAACTATAAAAATGCACTGAATATAAAATCGAGTGAGATGTGTATTTCAAAGCACTTTATGTTTAAATATATAGACATCAATGCTTATCCTTATTGGAATAATTGTCTAAAATGTAACACATATGATAAGGCAGCTGTCATGGATCCCTGTTTTCTTGGCACCAGCTCTTACCATATGTCCAGCTCGGAGGAGTATTCAGTAGCTCCCAGCAATGCATCAGGTGGCCGATACCAGAGAGTCACAACCTCTGAAGAGTATGTCTGGCTGGGAATGGACTTGGCTCGAGCAAGACCTGTTCAAAGAGGATAAACATGGCACCCAGTGCCTTGAGCCTTTTTGGTAGGCATGGCGACACACTGGACCGGGGAACATGTAACTGACAGAGTAAAGAACGTTAACTATACCATACAAGCTTGGATGTTTTTACCAGAAGGGCTTAACTATCCTGACCCTTGTGTATCCTTGCCTCAAGAGAATTTCTCAAATTTGACCCGCTCTATAACTAGATGACGCAGTCAAGCGTGGTTAGGTGACTAAATATTTGCCTGCATGGTATAGACAGAGGTGATGTTGAACCTCCAAGTCATGTCCTTAGTGGAGGGGTTGAGGGTTCTGTTTCTCTTTCCTCTGAGCTAGGGTGAGCAGGAGGTGATAACCACATTAAAATATGCTAGTGGGCAGTATCCTATGGATGGTGGAGCCACACAACAGGTGAAAACTAGACAAAGACTGGGGTCACCATACCAGCTCTGACTTCTTAGATGAGAGAAAGTTGTTTCTAAGGTTTTATATGATTGTAATTTGGGGTCTATATAATAGCAGCTGAAATAACTTGGTTCAGGCCCAATACATCTGCCCTCCATGTTTTCAGTCCAGGAGCCCCCAGTTTTTTAGAAGAAAAATGAGGACTACTGGTTCAAATTAGTTAATGTGGAAGAACCTGGAATGATTTCCCCTCAGGTATGCCTCTACAAAGAAAGAGAGGCTATGAGTCAGTGGTTTATCTCACAGAATTGCAGGACCTATACTTGGGGAAAACCTGTAACAGAGGGGTTGTTATTGTTGAGAATTTGTAAATGGATGTCTGCTAAATGCCCGAGTGTCAGGATGAGAGCTACTACCTCGAACAAAGCCCTTCAGGTGCCAGTTTCTGGCTGCTAAGAGAGAACACAGACTGCTTGTCTCACAAGAACCAGTGTGTCAGGACTGGGGAGGCAGCTCAGTGGTAGAACACGTTCTTAGCATGCACAAAGCTCTGGGTTCAATCCCAAGCACCTCAAAAAAAAAAAAAGAAGAAAAGAAAAAGAAAGAGAAGTAGTATTAGGTTGGTGTGGTGGCATATGCCTGTGTTTCCAGCAAGTTCAAGGCCAGCTTGGTCTACATAGTGAGTTCAAGTTCAGCCAGGACTACAGGGTAAGACCCTTTCTCAAAAAACAAAATTACTGAGTACCTACTATGATCAGACACTACAAATACAACAGTGAACACAAACCCCAATTGCCTTCATAATGCAGACAGTCTAGTGGAGGAGAAAAAAAATGACATATTTGTGCATGCATAAATAATATAAAGGTTATGTATATGTAGTTGTATGTGCCTCTACGTATGTGTGAGTATACAAACTATGTTAAGTGCTAAAATGGCAAGGCACAGTGGTAGAGGAGGTTCATGTCACTTTGCTTAGAATCCAGTCACACTGATATAGACACTTAAGGGTGCAGGATTAAGGGTCTTATGCATTTGTGCAGGGGTCCACGCTTAGTCTGGGGTCACCCTCTCTCTCTCTTCTGCCATCATGGGATAACCTTGGTCTATTCTGACAAAATTGGCACTATCCATAGTCTACCCTGTAGCTGTCTCTACATCAACAGTGACAGTGGTATAATATGGGGGTCCATCTTAGGATTCTTGTTGGAATGAGGCTTCAAGGAATTCTAAGAAGCTTCCACATGCTCCTTTTTTCTTGCCTCGCATTTCCTGTGTGGCTTGACATCCTCACACAGCATTATGTCCCTGGACCCCTGTTTTCAAAGGCCAGGCCCAGTCAGTGCTTTAAACAAGTGCACACAAAAGAATCATTGTTCACAAGCCAGAAGGCAACAGAGGGTGACTTACCAAAATCAGCCAGTTTTAGTTCTCCCAAGGGACTGATGAGCAGGTTCTGAGGTTTCAGGTCCCTGTGAAGAACGTGTTGGTGGTGGATGTATGCCAGGCCCCGCAGAAGTTGAAACATGAAAAGCTGGAAAGAATGAACACCATACCTAAGGACATTTGAGCCATTGCATGTTGATTTCTTCTCTAAATCAAAAACAGTCACCTGAAAGGATGTAGTGGAAGTGTCTCCTGAGAGACAAAAGAAAAACAAAGAGATTTTATACACATTCAGGCAAGGGAAAAGGACAAGGAAAATCAAGCAAGGAGACGGCACCTGAAACATCCTGAAGAGAGCGATTCTGGCTTTTTCTGACATCTCATTCCTTTCATACTGAAGGAATTACCCTTCCTTAAAAATCTAAAGTAAACCGGTCGTGGTGGCGCACGCTTTTAATCCCAACACTTGGGAGGCAGAGGCAGGTGGATCTCTGTGAGTCTGAGGCCAGCCTGGTCTACATAGCAAGTTCCAGGCCAGCTGGGGCTACAGGGAGACAAAAAAAAAAAAAAAAAAAAAAAAAAAAAAAAAAAAAGAAATCTAAAGTGAAACTTTGAAGTTTCCTTTGGAACATTAGTTATTGATTTAGATGTAAAAGATTTAACTTTTCCCCACCGATGAATTTGGCACATAAGATCAAAGTTGATCTGGAAATGATATTCAAAAGTTTACGATGGTTTAAGTTTTCCAGGCTCTGATATGTAACCTTGTAAAAGATACAACACAAGGAGACCCAACTGGGAAATATGTCCTCAAATAGCATTAAGAAATGAAGGGGCCAGTGAGATGGCCCAGTGTGTAAAGATGCTTACTATGCAAGCCCGGTGACCTAAGTTCTATCTCTAGAACTCACATAAAGGTGGAAGGAAAGAACTGACTTCATAAAGTTGTCCTCTGGCATCTACATGTGTGCCTCTCCAACACATATCACACACATACCCCCAAAAATATTTTTAAGTTTGAAAAAAAGAAATAAAGGAATCATCTTTATAAACATTTTGAAAGTCTTAAATTTAAAGTTGAAAACAAGGGAAATATATAGTATACATTTAAAGGGAAGAGAGACGAAAAGAAATTACGGCCCCCAACAAATCAAAAGAGAACAAAGAATAAACAGACGATAAGAGGAGAGGAGCCCGGGTAGTGATGGGAGGAAGAGGAAATCTGCGGAGCTGGGAAGGTGACTCAGTCAGTAAAATGCTTGCCATACAAGCATAAAGACATGAGTTAGGATCCCCTGCATCCAGGTAAAAAGCGGGGAGGCAGGGGCTAGATAGATGGCTTAGAGGTTAAGAACACTTGCTGTTCTTCCAGAGGACCCAAGTTCAATTCCCAGCACCCATATGGTGGCCAACAACTGTCTGTAATTCCAGTTCTAGGGATCTGACACCCTCTTCTGGCCTATGTGGACATTTCACACATGTGGTGCACTTACATGCAGGCAAAACACTCATACACATAACAATAATAAAAATAAATAAACAAAATATTTTTTAAAAACCAGGGAGGCAACAGCACACATCTATAACTCCAGTACTGGGGAGGCGGAAGCAGAAGGATCACTGGGGCCCACTAGCCAGCTAATCTCATCAAATCTGTGAGCTCCAGGTCCAGTGAGAGACTCTGTATCAAAAAATAAGGTGTTGGAGCTGGAGAGAGAGCTCAGCGGTTAAGAACACTGGCTGTTCTTGCAGAAGACCCGGGTTCAAATCCCAGTACCCACATGGCAGCTAACAACTGTCCATAACTCCAGTTCCAGGGGATCCGATGGCCTCTTCTGTCCTCCACGGGCATTGCATGACATGGGTGCACTTACCTACATGCAGGCAATACACACATACACATAAAAGTAAAAAAAAAATAAGGTGTCAAGTGATAGAAGACATTCCATAGACACACACGCACACAAATGTGTATATACCCCGCCCCTACAGACACACACACACACACACAAAAGAAAGAGGAAAAATACATCTGAACCCCAATTAAAACTATTTCATGTGGTTTTGAAGCACAGAACTGAAGACATTATCAAGTTTCCACCAAAGTTGGAGCTTATGGATGGAGGGGAGAGAGGGGAGATATGATGCTTAGTGTTGTAAATATCCCTTGCTTTTTCCAGTGTCACTGGCAGTGGAGACTTTAAACACCAGCATCAGTGTTGATGGAGACTTGTGCCAGCTGAGAACATGTTTTGACAGTTTAGAGAAGAAAGGGTCAAGCCAGTGTTCCTGGAGACATAGGCAAAATGGCATTCAGAGATACGTAAATAAATCCACCTTTTTCTGTAGCATCTTAGAATTTAGGAACTTCAGAGCTGCTAGAATTGATACTGACCCAACAGTGATACAGAGACTTTGAAGTTAAGTTCATGAGCAGCACAGCCCAACTGAAGCAGGGCAGCTGTGTGGGTGGGTGCAGTGCCCTCCTCAGCACTTGGAGAATGTTAGAAATCTCCCTCAAATGACTCCCCAGTGGTTTCTGTCTGCTGCTTTAAACACACACTGTTCATTCAACCATTGCCAACCTACTAATTTATGAATGTCCACAGAAAAAGACAATACAGGGGCTATAAAAATGGCTCAATAGTTAAGAGCCCTTGCTGTTCTTTCAGAGGACCAGGGTTCAGCTCCCAGCAACCACATGGCAGCTAATAACCATCTGTAACTCCAGTTCCAGGGGATCTGATGCCCTTTTCTGGTCTCTGTAGGCATTGCATGCATGTGGTGCTTTTATATATATACAGACAAACTACTCATACACATAAAAAATAAGAAAAGAAAAGACAATATAAAGAACCAACTTAAGAGGCAGGAATGGTGGTACATACATTTAATCTCAGGACTCAGGAGGCAGAGACAAGTGAATCTCTGTGAGATCAAGGCCAGCCTGGTCAAGTTCCAGGCCAGCTGGGCTACAGGGACACCCTGTCTCACAAAAACAGAAACAAACAACAAACAAGAACCAACTTAAGTTATAGTGGGAAGAGAAGATATCATAGTATGTGTTTAAAAATACACTTTTCAATGAGAAGAGACTAAGGAACAAAGAAGATAAAGGTAGGTAAGGAACAGAAGACAGAAAGATGGTGACCATCAGGGATACAGTCTTTAGAAGATAACCTGTCCTTAACTTACAGATAGCATACCAGAACTCAAGGAAACCTTAAAAATATGTCTGAGTCTTACAGAGATCTATCTGTCTGCCTCTGACTCCCAAGTGCTGGGATTAAAAGCATGCACCACCATACCACTTTATAATCTCAATTATCAAAAGGGGGAATAGAGATAGAAGAGAGAAGGGTCCTCTTACTAACCCATTAAACAACTGAATCCCCAAAAACTTCTGAAATTCTATATATAGACACTACTAGTTCACGTAAGCATGACTTTCCCTCTGAAGTCCATACCCATGCTCTCATGGGTTTTGTTTTCTTCTCAGGTGCCTCTCTTTCTCTTAACCCTCATACTTAAACTCTATATTAAAAATATCTTTCATGGCAGGAGAGATGACTCAGCAGTTAAGAACTCAATACCATTGTCATAGAGGACTTAAGCTAGGCCTTTGTGGTTCTTACCTGTATCCCTGTTACTCAAAGGTGGTCCCCTGGCCCTCAGCAAAATATGCATCACCGTGGAGCATGTCGTAAATTCAGATGTTCAGGTTTGATCCTAAACTCATTGAACCAGACTTCCAGCCATTCATCTGCTTACTGGGGTTGACAGGTATTGGATTAGAACACATCCCAAAACTTCTAACTGGGATCCCTAACTATGGTCTCTTCTTCCTTTTTAATCCACTCCACAGAGCATAGTCACCCACCCTTCCTTCTGATAAACATTCTCTTTCAACTTAAACCCCATAATGGCTTTACTGTCTAAGGAATAAAGGCCATATTTCTCAGAATGTGAGGCCCTAAGTCATCTACCCAACCTATTTCCAAGACATGTAGTCTCCATGTCATTAATATAGCCTATATTTCTGGCCAACGGAGTCAGAAACACAGCATAGCACAAGTAGAAATTAATTTTTAGGAAAGATTTACTTACTTTTATTTTATGTATATGTGTGAATGACAATGTATGTATGTGCACTATGTGCATGCAAGGTGCCCATAGAAGCCAGAAGAGGATGTCCCATGGAAGTGGAGTTACAGGCAGTTGTGAGCCTCTATGTGGGTACTGGGAAATGAATGCTGGTCCTCCACAGGAGCAGCAAGAGCTGTAACTGCGGAGCCATCTCTCCAGCCTCTGGTAACGAATCTTAACTAAGAGGCTAAGTACTTTTAACAATATCAAAACTAGTTCTGTGATTCAGGTGTTAAATATTAGATTCCTTCTCTGCAAAATAAGAAAGTCAGACCAAGAAACAGCCTTATGTTTCTAAACTTTGCTCCAAGAAACAGCCTTATGTTTCTAAAGTTTCACAGATTGCAACCCACAGTAGGAAGTATATATACATCCAACACTTAGAGCCATACATGAACATCAGTGCAGTTACAGATGGAACAAAGGTTGCATAAAATAACACTTGCTCCAAGTGCTATGTACCATATTGTTTTCTGTCGTCATTCATTTTGTTTTGCTTTTAAAAATGCTGGCTGTAACCATGAAATTGACTTTGTGGTTTGTTGCAGATCAGAACCCTGAGACTGAAAATGTTCTGGCACCTCCAACCCAAACAGCACATGAGCCAGGATCTTCTTGTTGAATACATCCTCAACTCCCGACTCTAGGCCTTGCTGAGGACATTCCTCCCATTATTCCAGCTCTTTCTATTATTCCAGCCTCTTTTGAATGCAGTGCATCTTTTAATGCCACAAACCTCTTGAAATAGAAGAAAACAGGGCCAGCAAGTTGACTCGGTGAATAAAAGCACTTGCCCAAGCCTGATGACCTGAGTTCAATCCCCAGGACCCACGTGGTAGAGGGAGAAAACAGACTCCCACAAATTGTCTTCTGACTTCCACAAACATGCTGTGGCATGTGCACACCCCTTATCACATATACACTAAATAAATTAAAGAAAATGTAACCAAAATAAAATTTAAAAACAAAGAAAACATTTACTTAGCATAGCTACAGGGCCAGGTCTTACTTCTTACTAGGCATTTTTTCACACATCTTAGCATAGCATCAGTCTATTTTATCTTATTTTTACGTTACTGCCATCGAGAGCAGGAAAAGTGTCTTCTGTGTCTTTTCATCCTTCTCAGCATTTCACAGTGTCTGGTATGTGAGTTGCTCAAGCCTCAAAATATGTTTCTCTCTGTTTTTCTTTCTCTGAGTGTTCTGTTTAACCAATCCCTTATTTCCCTCACTGTCCACCCTCTCCTTAGCATCCTGCATATTTTTACTTCGTGACTGGAGGCTAGACACTGTCTATGAACCTCTGACCATCACTCTAACTTGTCCTTAGTCTCCTCAATGCTCTTGCTTTCCTGTCTGTTCTTCCCGCATGTCTGGCAAAACTCCACCTCTGAATCAATTGTAATGTCTACTTTCCCTGGTCTTCTATTGGAATCATTAAGTATTGTCATTAAAAGAAAAACAAGGCAGCCTGATCATATGGACAGTTTAGTATTCTTAATCTTCAGTGGCCTTTGATCCACTACAAACATTCCTTTTTTTCGTTTCTCTGCCTAGTCCTCCCTCCCTCCCCCCCTCTTTCTTTCTTTTTTCTTTCTTTCTCTCTTTCTTTCTCCTTCCTTTCTTTCTTTCTTTCTTTCTTTCTTTCTTTCTTTCTTTCTTTCTTTCTTTCTTTCTTTCTTTCTTTCTTTCTTTCCTCTTTCTCAGGGTCTCAGGGTCTCTCTGTGTAGCCCGACCTGGCCTTGAACTCAAGATTCTTCTGCTTCTACCTCATGAGTGCTGGGACCATAATTGTGCACTGTCACACTCACCTCATTCCCTGCCTAGTTCTCCATTCTATTTTCTACAAAGCTATTTTTTTTTCCACTCTCCACAACTCCTGGTCCTCAAACTTTCCTTTCTAAACCTTTGCTCCCAAGACTAGGCTAGCCCTGCTTACCAAGTGTCCCCATAGAATTCCTTGTTCCCACAGCCACAGCACTGAGTGCTTTGCTTCTAACTGCCCACTGAGGTCCATAAATCTTACTGCACATTAAGCTCACTGAAAATAAGAAACACAACTTTCTCGTTATTGAAACCCCAGAACTCAATATAGCACTAAGTACTCAATAAATATTTCTTTAATGAATGAATAAATGAATACATAAATAAATATTAGGTAAATGAATAATCATGCCAACTGGGCATCTTATATAGTTATTTTTAAAGTCAATCATTTCTTTGATGCCAATAAAACCCTAGGGAATATGAAGTTTGAAATACAAATGGTTTCTAAAATTTATAACAGATGTAAATTACTGATTAAGAGTTTATTATTTCTATTCTGATAGTTGGGGGTATGGAATTTAGTCCTGTGTGCACAATAGGGTCTGTTAGAACAGGCAATGCAAGCTCTATCACAGACCACGTGAAGAAGGATCTAGTGTATGCTGGCCTTGCTCCACGTCTCTCCCTTTGATATAATTCTTTTTAATTGGTCTATATATCTAAAGACTTGCTGGTGGCAGGAACTAACAGGAGCAGGCTGCTCAGTGACATGTTGTTCCAGATCTTGAGGGAGAATTTGTTGTTTGTTTTTTACTTTTTTCCCTAGAAAATTAGTGATGTCTGTCTTCTTTTTGTTTGTTTGATTGTTGTTGTTTTGAGACAGGGTCTCACACTTGTAGTCTAGGTTAGCCTGGAACTCACTATCACTATGTAGCCTAGGTTGGCCTCAAACTCATAACAATCCTCTTGCCCCTGCCTCCAGAGTATTGGGATTACAGGCATAAGCCACCACACCTGGCTCCATCTTCTGGTTCTGTGTTCTGGCACTTTGCTTTTGAATGGTTGACTATAGAGCCTGACTCTTAAAGTACTTACCCTGACATTGTGAGGATGAAGGCCTCCAGGATGCTGGGACATGTACTGGGCGAGATCTGTGTGCTAAACAGAACCACAGAAAAAGAGAGGGCAGAGGAAGTCAGTGATGCTTGGAGAGTGTCCTAAAGCACAACTCAGCTGATAAGGAGGTACAGCAAAGATAAGGCCGTTTTAGACTAAAGCGTGAAAGGAGTATAACCAGATTTTTCTGAGACCCCATTGTTAAAGTCAATACAGCGTCTTTCTAACTGGCTGCTGGTACAAGGAGGCCTGTTTCTTGGCACAAAGATGTTCATTTTGAATGACTGGCACTGAACATAGCAAAGGAAATGTTCGCTCTCAAAGTACCCTTGGAGGCAAGTCAAATACACATACTTCATGATTTCTTTCTGCTCGTTTCACTCGTTTCCTTTTCAAATACAAAATAAATTATTCTTTAACAAGTGCATATATGATTTTTAAATATCTTGTGCTTCAGATCTGTATAGTCAAAGAAGAAACATTGGTTCCATCAGTAATTAAAACAAAAAGTGCAAAAGTTTTATGAGAAAGCATATACAAAATCTCGGGTTTATTATTGGTGGCAGAGAGGAAAGAGGCAGAGGATAAAAGCAGTCAGGCTCTGCTTATCACAATAACAAAATTTCCATCATACCTTCCTCATAATGAAAGTTTTATCATGCCATAAAATATTAACAGATTCATTATACAAGCACCAGGCTTTTCTCCTCATGTGTTGTAAAAGTCTGGAGAACTCACCATGTACTCAAAAACGAATGTCAGAGTTTCTTTGGTATGAATGATGTCATGCAGGAGGACAATATTGGCATGCTTCAAACCCTTCAGCAGAGAGGCTAGAAAGATGAAATGGAGTGGTAAATCAGTCACTGGCGATGGAAGTGTCTCTTTAAACCTATTAAGGAATATTTATTTTTTAAACTTTTCAAATCAAGCAATCTGTTTTTTTACTTCTGGAAATAAATCTCTCTTGCAAGAATATTTAAAATGACAAAGGACCTTCATTATTTTAGAAATGGTGAATCATTACATTTGCACAATGCACTGTTCCTAGAGGCCAGCCAACAGTATGTTTCCATCTACCTAATCAATTTCATCAAAGCACTCAGCACTTTGTGAGGTTACCCTCTGGGAATCTCACCATCCCAGATTCAGAGCTATAGAAACCCTGACCTACAGAGACACAGGCCCTGGGAGAAGTAGAATATTGTCTGTTCTACTTTCTAGAGCAGGAGTTTGCAATATGTGACCATACTCCGAAACGCAAAGTCCAGCCAGGGCTGACAAAGCTGGTGGGGGGCAGGGACAGGCACGTGGGGTGAAAAAGGGTTGACGCCTATTCAGCAAGCATTGCAAACCTCCATGGAAATGAAAATTTAGAAGAGCACTGAGCTTGGGAGCCTTAGGGAACGGGAATGCTGTCTCTTATCTATTTGGTAACTGTTAAGTTACTCAAAGCATCCATTTACTTATTTATTTATTTATTTATTTATTTATTTATTTATTTATTTGTGCTGGGGATCAAGGTAAGGGTCTGACCTCAAGCATTTTACTAGTGGAGCCATTTAAAAGGGAGAAGTCACCACAAGGTTGTCTTTGGGAGCTCCAGAGATGAAAGACCCCTGGCTTCAAAAAAGTGGAAACCAAAAATGGCATGAAAAGGAAATGACGAATTTCAACTCCAGGCATGAAGAAATAATGTCCTTAAGGCTTAAAGGAGATGCCAGGGATGATAGAACATGGCTATAATCCCAACATTCAGGAGGCTCAAGCAAGAAGATCATGGCACAATCAAGGGAAGCAGGGGCTACAGAGTGAGACCCTATCTAAAAAAATTCAAACAACAGGGACTGGAGAGATGATTCAACAGTTAAGAGTACTGGCTTCTCTTGCAGAAGACCTGGGTTCAAATCCCAGCACCTACATGGCAGTTAACAACTGTCTGTAATTCCTGTTCCAGGGGATCCAATACCCTCTTCTGTTTTCCATGAGCATTTCACAACATAGGTGCACTGACATATGTGCAGGAAATACACTCATGCACATAAAATAAAAATAAATAAGTAAAAAACAACAAATGAACAAACAAAAGACTTAAATGGAAAAGTATAAAACTCAAATCATATGTATGTTTTATATATTAATGACATAAAACTAGAAGCAGGATGTTAAGGGGAAAGAGGAACTCAAAGAGGGGAGAAAAGAGGGGAGCAAGACAGGGTAACTGGGGGAAGAAAGACAAAATATCACATATTTCCTCTCACATGCAGAATCAAGATTTAAATCTATGGGGAGGAGCTGGAAAGATGGCTCAGTGGTTAAGAGCTGCTCTTACAGAGGACCCAAGTTCAGTTCCCAGCACCCACATGGCAGCTCACAACCATCCATAACTCCAATGCCAGGGGATCCAATGCCCTCTTCTGGCCTCCACAGTCATTGCACATATGGGTGCACTTGCATACATATAGGCAAATCACTCACAAAATGTAAAATAAAAATAAATAAATTTTATAAAATTAAAAAACATATATGTATATGTGGGGCTGGGGTGATGGTCTGTGGGTAAAGTGCTTGCTATGCAAGCATAAGGACCAAAATTTGGATGCCCAATACCCAAATAAAAGCCAGGTGGGAGTGGTGGCCCACTTGTAATTCCAACACTTAAAAGATGGAGATGGGATCTTTGGGGCAAGGTGGCTAGCTAGACTCATTGAATTGGTAGGCTCTGGATTCAGTGAGAGACCCTGCTTCAGTAAATATAGCTGACATAAACCTCTGATCACATGTGAAGCCAGCACACATATGCACACCACATACCATACGCATGCAAAAAATATATATATGTGTGTGCAGCTCAGTGGTACAGTATGTGCCACATATGCAGGAGGCCAGGTGTTCAGGGGTTCTATCTTCAGCACCACAAAAAAGAGAGGAGAGAAGGAAGGAAGGAAGGAAGGAAGGAAGGAAGGAAGGAAGGAGGGAGGGAGGGAGGGAGGGAGGGAAAAGTTAAGGTAAAGAAAACAGTACTGAGTTGTGGACAAACATGGATTCCTGGTGGCACTGTTTGTACCCTGTAAGTCTGTAGTTATTCAACTAGGCTAATGCCCTTAACTCCTCCATTAAGTCAGTTGAGACCCTCTTACCACTAAAAGAGCTCTACCATGCCTATAAGGCCTTCAGTGTTATTTTGTTTTTTGGCCCCAGGGTCCTTGTAGACTAAATTTATTATTTCACTATTAGAAGTGAATTTATTTTACAAATATAATGAGCAATTTCACAGGTATCTGTTTAATCTCTCTAGTCCCACACTGAAGTCTACACAGCAACAGAGTAACCTCTATCTTTGGATGCCACTGCACCACCTCCCACAACACTCAGCCAAGAGTAAGCACTTAATTTATCAAGTGTATTTATTGAGTGTCTTAAGGGAGAACTGTCTGTGGAGCCAGAAGTCCTCCCATGAATCCTGGCCCTGTCACTTTCTGAGTGAGCTCTGGAGATTTTCTCCACCTGAGTCTCTGTTCACCCCTTAAGAGATATCATGATGTGAATATAGACTTTACCCTATTTCTAGAACACTTAGGAAATGGAAAGTGTAACAGAGATGCAAATTAGAGTTAATACCCTCATGCCGGCTCCCCACTTTCCTGTTTGCCTTGAACCCTTTAGAGCCCCACTCCTGGTCTTAAAGTCTTATTTTTGGTATGCTTCTGTAGGAGTTTTCAATGCCTCCAATATTAACAACACTGACCTCTGACCATCAGTTGAGAATGTTTGCATTTTATATGTTTTTATTTATAATTCTTTTCATAATTTCCTGTTTCTTTCCACACACATATATCCACAGTACAAAGCATGCACATCGAAATTAGATTTAGGGCCTAGAGGTGTAGCTCAGTGGCAGAGGGCTGACTTAAGCATGAGTATGACCTTGGATTTGATCCCTAACACTACACACACAATTAGATTTTTTAAAGAATATGGTAAAACAAATTGCTAAAGAATATGGTGTTTTTTTTTATTAATTTACTATTTATTTACTTACTTATTTATGAGACCACATCTCTCTATGTAGCCCTGGCTGGCCTGGAACTCATCATGTAGGCCAGGCTGGCTTTAAACTTGCAATGTCCCTTGTGCCTCTGCCTCATGAGTTCTGAGATTACAGGCATGTGTTCCCACACCCAGTTTTAATTTTATTTTTAATGTAATTTTGTTCTTACCTAAGTATATTACTCAGACTCTATAAGCTTATTTAAAAATCAGGCTGGCCCATTTTATTAATCACAATGGCGTCAACACTGTCATTTGCTAAAAAGCTCAAAGAATGATGTGTACTTGGGTGAAGCTTAGTGCTAACACGAGTGAGCACGAATCCTTACTTCTTGCAGTTTTCTTGAAAATGTCTGTTTTGTAGGAGTGGGAAAGTGCCCATTTTGCCATTTCTCTGTTGTTGACTTATATTTCTATTATTGATCTTATCTTCAGTTCACTCCCTTATGCAGCTTTAGCACCTTGGACTCATCGGCTGCTCTCAACTTTTTTTCCTCATCCAACCCATGGAAATATCTATTGTCAGTTCTTCAAAATATGTCGAGAACTCTCACTTCTGTCTATGTGCTTGCCACCACCCTGGGCTAAGCCATGCTGATATCTTGGCTGAATGTCTGCAAAGGCACCCTCGGTAGTCTCCCTGCTCCCTGTCTGTCCATCATCTCTTCTTTTCAGACCAGTCAGGAACTGTGATTCTTCTGCATTGAAGGTCAGTGCAAATCCCTTCAGATTCCCAACCCTATAGAGACTTCCCATCTCACTTGATAAAATCCAGAGGACTCCCCTCTCCACCCAGTCCTGCCCCATCATTTGCTCTCATTGCCTTCCACTCTCACACTTGGTCCCTTGGCTCTGGCCACACTGGCCTCCTGTTTCTCTGACACTTGCAAACACAGTTCCTCCTCCAGTTTTATGGTTGTCATGGTCTTCATCCACAATTTTCTTTCCTCAGCTCTGCATGTTTTCTCCTTTCCTTCAGGACTCTGCTCAAATGATACTTATAGGTATGGGCTTCCTTGACCACGGCAGATGAATCTCAGCCCTCTATTCATCCCATCGCAGTGAGCCTCTACTCCTCAACCCTGCCTTAGTCCTCTTCACAGTACTCACCACTACCTGTCATAATATAGACATACCTATATGTATACATGCATATAACATACACATATACCCTTAAGAACAAATATTTTATTGAGAGCAGGTATTTTTGTATTTTTTGCTTATTAATGAATGTTCAATGCTATGTGTATGAGTGTATTGCCTGCATGTATGTAAGTACACTCATGTCATGCAATGCCTGCAGAGATCAGAAGAGAGCATCAAATCCCCTGGAACTGGAATTACAGAGGGTTGTTAGCTGTTATGTGGGCACTGGGATTCAAACCTTGGTCCTCTGCAAGAGCAGTCAGTGCTCTTAACCACTGAGCCATCTCTCCAGTCCCTTTAAACACTCACGTCTCACGTCTTAAATAGTATCACTTATATACCTATAGTTGGCAGGCAGTAGTTCTGTTGAAAATATTTTTACTTCTTTTTTTTTTTTTTTTTTTTTTGTCTTTTTGAGACAGGGTCTCCCTGTAGCCCCAGCTGGCCTAGAACTCACTATGTAGATCAGGCTGGCCTTGAACTCACAGAGCTCCTCCTGTCTGCCTCTCAAGTGCTGGGATCAAAGGTGTGCACCACCACGCCTAGCTTCTTGTTTCTTTTAGGCACCTTCCTCAATTAGAATAATTAAATGTTTTATCTCATGGTCATGTTTACTATTGCTTTACCAATGCCCCAA